CTTTCGGTGTAGAAAAAAATCAATTCATGGTAGTAATTTTTTTTTACGACTGCCTTTACATCTTTTTTTTTTCCACAAAAATGTATTTAGAGCAATGCTTCACATTCTGCATCTTATTTTTGGAACCACATTAATGGGTAATTTCAGGCATACACTAAATTATGGAATTGACAAGAGTTTATTATCTAGGTCAATATGTGCACAGATATAAACATAAAATGATGTATATAATCTATGGCAAAACTATGGTTACATTATTTTTCTTTACATGACTGAGACTAAGCTGAAGCGGCCCATTACTGCACTTTCCTACAAAGGCTGTCATTTCCACCCGCACTTGTGAGACAGATTGAAACCCACTTTAATGTCACATTGGAGGAACGTCTATGGTAAGCATGAACACACACTGTGCTTGCTTGTGTTACACCAAGAGCAGCAGGAGGCGCTGATCTCACAGGGGCTGAAACCGGGAGAAGAAGCCTGCTTACTGCTGGTGAACATCCTAAAGGCCAGGCCCTAGATTCTGACATAATTAGGCTCAACTTTAAAACCCCAGTGCCATCCAACTGAAACAGTGTCGATTCCAGCTTACAAAACTGTTTCTGAACTCTACAAAAACTCCTATTTTTACACTAAACGATATCTTGTGCATAACAGCTCATCATGAAACAACTGGAAATTTAGTTTGTCCTGAAGTATTTTAAGCTCTAATACCACTGTCTCATTATTTTGTCATTTCCATTCTGCTTAATTAAGATTTTCCATATATTTAGTTTTATGTGTTGTGTTGTTTCAAGGGTTATGGAGACCAGGAGCATTCAGTGGAAGAATAGGGAGCAAGGCTCATGCTATAACCTTGGTATCTAAAGATTACGTACGCAAACATTCTTATCCATCGCTATTTATTTTAGGTTATATTAATACTCAAGATGCCAAAAGAACTGATATTCCAATAAGAGAAATGAGAAAAAAAATGTTGCCACCTTTTACATATTTAGAGTTTACATTGTTTAGAATGAAATGTCTTCTACTGGTATTACAACTTAACGCAGAAAGATTCCAACATGATCTGCATGTAGAGTTAACTACTAAGTAAGGCTTAGGCAAAACCTAAGTTGAAACAGAATCAAATCAAATTTCAATTTGATTCTATTTGAGATGTATTCGGAAGCCTGCTTGTTTACAATGTAATCAGACCGCATCACATTATCAGAAATTCTGTTGCCTTGTTCTAAATCGCAAAATATGGTGTTGCGTGTACCAGGGAATCGAGCCTACTTTGCGATGTAAAACTTGAGATTTTACAAGTTACTATGTACATTTCATTTTTAGTGTGGTTTGAAATGCGCTCATCAATGCTGATTCTTTCTAACCCCGAAATATACAAACAGCTCTGCGTTTCCCCTTTAATCCAAAAAAGGCATCTTTTCAACTCATCCAATGTAAGAATATCAGGGCATTGCTACACAGCGAGTAATGATTCATCAACCTTTTCATCTCCAGGATGTATACTGGTACATAATGAAAACTCACATCAAGCTTTACCCCCTGAGCTTATATTTGAGTATTTTATTCCTTTTCAAAAATGTGCAGTTATATATTTTTTTATTTTAGAAATCATACTCTCCTAGTATGCCCAAAGACATGTCTCCTAAAAAATAAGTCAGTAAAGTCAGGAGAAGCTAGTAATGGTGATAATGATAATAATAATAACAACAAACATTATGAAGCCAAACATACACATTATGAAATTGGATTCAATAAATGTATTTAAAACAAATGAGAGAAAAAATAATTAAAATAATTAGAGGGACATAAAGTTGTAAGTATCCTATCTCACATATAACAAAACGGTTTTCTGCCCAGAAAGTGGTCCTGAAAAAATACGTGAAAGGAATGTCCTACACAGTACACTGCTGGGGTCCAACTTCGCCCAGCCCCCTCCTATAATGGTTTCTCCACTAGTTTCATTCTTGTTTGCCAAGACCACACAAGCAGACACACTACATGCAGAGGATGCAGGTTATAAAAACAGCAGCTTGTACTTCACTTGACAGAGTGGTGTTTGGTTTTTTCAAGTGTCTATGTAAAATATGCGTTACCAGAACAGAGTTTTTAACATAGGAGCTATGACAATTTCTATGAAAGAATGCTACACTTAATTCTTTTTATATGGTTTGAACCTAATTGATATTACCATTTTACAATATTTAAAATGATGTAAATGTTGTGATTACAATGAATGAGTTTAAAAATGTATTTTTCAACTGGTATGGTCCAAGCTACAGTACCATTTAAAAGAAGCATTTTACCCTTAGGTTTAAAACCCAAACAAGTTCAAACGGGGATGAAGTCTTGTTGTGTCAAAAACACGTATGAACAAGAAAACCAGTTGGAGAACATTGTCCTTGGTGTTTTATTCTGAACTCCTCAGTCAGGATGGCATCTCTGTACAGTCACAAACACCCTACTATCTTTACATGGTTTACATCTTTACACTGATATTACTGTGGAATGTGAATATGAGCATGATCTACACATTAAAGATCTTCTTAGAACCAGCAATTGTCAGTAATGCCAAGCACCACCTTAAATGTTTCAGATATTATAGTTGTAAAAGGAAGAAAGTTTTAGAAAATGTTTTCCTTCCTTTATTGTATTATTTTATGTATTTTCTCATCTCTAAAATAAAAAATGAAGCAGGAGATTAAAGAACATAGGTAATAAAAGTGTTTCCGTGATGTCAAGATATAAGTAATGAATTATACTTCTAAACTGTATTTATAATAATAAATACTATACTTGAAAACTTAAGTTATTTTACCAAACAGCTTTTACCATACTGCAGGTCCAGAAAAGCATATCCACATTTCCACTGCATAAGTAATACTATATCTTCTGAATTAAAGCAATTTAAGTTGTAATGAAAAGATACAAGGGTAAACAGGCTTTTTTGTCATTTTACATTAAAGAACACTTTCTTTTTAATATATAGGATAAGGGTACACGAGTAAAGCATCTGGATATTTTAAGTTAAAGGTTTGGTAACCCATAGTAGAAAGGAGCTTGATTACCAATTTTGTGGAGTGGTGTCATCTTAACCATCTCCAGCTTAACACCAGCAAGACCAAAGAAATGATCTTTGACTTTCGAAGGAATAAGTCTCCGCTGAACCCTGTTTCCATCCAGGGTGAGAACATAGAGGGCGTACATTCCTACAAGTATTTAGGGGTACACCTGGATGATAAGCTGGAGTGGTCTGGTAACACTGACGCCCTGTACAAGAGAGGTCAGAGCCAACTCTATTTTCTTAGGAGACTCAGGTCCTTTGGTGTGTGTGGAACACTGCTACACATTTTTTATGAATCAGTGGTGGCGGCGGCCATCTTCTACGCTGTTGTGTGCTGGGGCAGAAGCATCATGACAAAAGATGCAAATAGGCTCAATAAACTTATCAAGAAGGCTGGCACTGTGCTGGGGATGAGCCTTGACCCCATGGAGGTGGTGGCTGAGAGGAGAATGCTGACCAAGCTCACAGCCATCATGAACAACACCTCTCATCCGCTTCATGGGACTGTTACTGGGCAGCGGAGCACATTTAGCAATAGACTGCTCCAGCTACAGTGTTCAAGGGAACGTTTCCGCAGGTCTTTCCTCCCGGCGGCTGTCAGGGTGTATAACGCTGCCCTCGGCTAGGACTGTTAGCCCTTCATTTGCTCCCCTATGGACAGCATGTTTACTCCATTGTACTTTTTGGACAATCAATCTGTATAAACCTATGCACATTTTGCACATAGTTTATTGTTTCTACAGTGATTATGATCAGCACATTTTGCACACACTTATGTATGTATTTATTTTTATTTATTTTGTTGTCTTTTGTTTTATATGTATTCTGATGTCTGTTTTGCTTGTCTTGGGCTGGACTGCTGTAACACATCAATTTCTCTACGGGATTAATAAAGTATTATCTATCTATCTTATAATCAAAACAGAAATACAGTTACAGGTGCCCCATTCCAACTTAAAAAAATCTCTGCAGTATATAAATGTGTATAGTTGTTAAGCACGCCCCCAAAAAAACTTTCAAGAGTTTTACAATTGCTTGACCCACAGCTCAATTGCTGGCTAAAGTAGTTGACCCTCCATAATTTAACTTGGGTATGAGCTCTGATTAAAGAAAGCCAAGCAAACACTGAAGGTCACTTTAGGCTACAGGTATTTGCCCTGCTTTAAGAAACAGATTTAATAAATAGACAACTTGAAGACAAGAAAATAAATGAGTAAAAAAAATCATTCTTCTAACATTATTTTTTTTACTATTTCAACAGAACAATGAATTTTGCAACAAAGATCTACTGACTCTTCCAGTAATTTAAAAACATTTGTATGTCTTTAAACCAGCTCTCCAGTGTTGCAAGTCTCTAAAATCCAAAGTTTAAAAATGCAGAACCATCTTTTCTTGGGGAGATTTACTTGTTTCCTGGAGCAGAATATTATTGCTTATTTATTATTAAAATAAAACAGGAAAATTTTAGGTTTCTACAACAATTATGAATAATCTTACAGGGGACATATACAGTAAAGGACTTCCTTCTAGTCATTTGCCAACATCAAGCATTTTTAAAGTGATAAGGAAAAAGGGGTATGGTCCTGTAAAATACCAAGTCTACTGCATATCACAAAAAAACAACATTCTGAATTAACAGTTATCTTCAGCCCTATTCAGCAAGACAGAGTTATCAAAAGCAATCTTTCATGCATTTTATTTCTTTCCAGCTAGAGGCCACAACAGCTGGTTTTGTATGTTGTCAAGTGGTGCCACACATTGTGGCTTTCTATCTAATGATCACCAGGCCTGAAAGACCTTTCTGTGCACTGAAATTAAGTTGGAAAATTCTGAAATATTTTTTTTAATCAAGCCAAGTCAGTCAATTTCTGTGAGTAAGCTGCATTGCTTTCAGTTCCAAAGTAGCAAAGACAAAGCAAGGTTTACTCACCCCCGTCAGAGACAGCTGCAGACTGCAAAAGAACACAAAGAGACATGAGTGAGCAGCACCCTTCGTGACACCACATAAGACAAAGCCTTAATTAGCCAGCAGCCCCTAAGACATATCCAGGGATGCTGATTACTGGTGGCAGCTTGCTAAACAACTTTCTTTTTTAGAAAAGAAGGCATGACTAAGACCAAGTGATTAGATGAGGCTGCAAACATTTCTTTTCACAGAGCTGTTACCAGCACACTGCTAAACTCCACCCATTTCCAGCAGTGCCCCAAGGAGCTCACACACCAGACTTGTCAGGTAAACAAACACTCTTAATGGACAATGCAAATCACTGACAAATGGCAACATGGCAGGCATGTGTGTCTGGGGAAGTAATACAATTATAGATTCTTATCACATAATGAATCATTAGGATTTGGTGAGGGCGATTGTGAGGGAAAAACAACTTCTCCATTTACAACACAGTAGAAGTCTTCGGCTATGTGCACTTCCTCCAGGATTTCTTCCCATGGAATTCCAGGTTTTATGCAAATCATGTTAATCATTGATATACTTCAGGCTTTTCTTTCTCCAAGTGATCTTTCAAGAAGGTTGATATTATTTCTAACAAGAATATTCATTTATTCAGAAGCAGGTCAGTACTAGATGGGACACTTCCAGGGAAAAACAGGCTACTGCCGTAAGTACTGGTGGACCAGTAGGTGGTGCTATTCCCTCTGGATTGGATTTTCCAAAACCATGACCCAGTATGGTAACTAGTGGAACTGCATAGTTTCTTCAATTCCCATGGCTCTGTTCTAAGGATGTAATGGTGTCAAACCTGGTGTCATAACTAAAGTCCACTCTGGAATTCAACAATCTGACCTTCCTGATGTGCCGTGTAGTAGGACTTCAGGAGCATAATAGATGTTATGTGTCACCAGGCTGACAGATGGCCCCACTTCTATCAATTTAAAGAGCTTTGATATGAGAAACACCATAAAAACTCAGTTATTATCAATTGGTATCTTTAAAAAGCATTCTACCTCTCACTGGGGCAGTTGATTTTAAGCTCCCTCCAAATGCAAATCAAGACACTAACAGAATATTTGAATGTAACCTAGTGACAAATGTTTCAGGCAACTTAAAGAAGACAATGCTATTATTATGTAAGACTAGCGTGACCCCAGTTGTCTTCACTATATCACATGAAATGACAATGCTGCAATCTGTAGTTTAAAAGTTTCTGGAACAGCCCCTGAATTTAAACCTTTATCATTCACAGCCAGCTTAAAAGAACTTCTTCATTTTACTCTGAAACAGGGTTTGGGGAAATTAGATTTGAGTTACTGAAAATGTACTGTGAAACCAAACAAGGAAATTGGAAACTGCTAAACTAGAAATCAAGCTAAGGCAGATTTTAGAAGTAATGCTCTCCTTTAAGAAGAGCTCAATAAGTGACAGACCTGTCTGTGCACTGAACAAATTGCAAAGTCATGGTACAGTATATAACAAACTCCTAGGATCCTGCAACATACAGCTTGATGAGGTTCTGAAATCAATAAGTGTCTGTACATCAGACAACCAAGATAGGCAGAATAAATTCCTTTTTAACTTTTCTTCTGTTCTTTTTGCTTGTTCTTCTTTTCAATAGTTTGCTAAAATGCAAAAGTTCACCTTATAAAGTGTGTCATTAGTCTTGAAATGAGGGTGAAGCAATAGCTCAAACAGTTCTCAAGATCTGTTGGTTCTATTTTTCCCAGATTGTTAGCCTCTAGTTGGCTTGTCTCACAGTGATCCATAATGAATACTAGTGGTAGCTGGTGACCTCAAAGAGGGAGGCAAAATGACAAAGAAGCGATGTAAATGCAAAGCAATTATAACATTGACACTGTATTATCTCATGCAAATGTCTTGTCCTACAAAAATTTAAAAAAGGCTTTTAAAAACAATTTTCAACAGCTGCCAAAATGTTAGGCCCCTAATCAGTGGAAAAAAGCTATTTGATGGCATGCATAACAACAGAAATGTCACACAGCACTTCAGAAGACTGATGGTACAATAGATTCACTGGTTGGGGATCTGATCTCTCTCTTTCCATACATCGCCCTGTCTTTTTTCCTCATGTAGAGGTGTCCGTTTCACTGGTCTTTGCTTACAGCCTACTGGAATGAACAGTGTATCACACAGTGATAGTGCTTAACAGGTACAGACAAGGCTTGTCAGGGATTTGCAGACTTGATGTGTGGTTATCTTTTGCCAAACCTTCACATCTACCCTTCATTCCTCTCTTCTGTCTCTCTCTTCCTTCTTATAATCTATTGAAATAAACAGAATGAAGTCAATTAAAATGTATAACAACCCAGTTTTATAATTAGAAACACTCAATGAAGATATGTAACTGTATTCCCTCCTCTACCAATTTTTATTTATCCATCTATTTATGTATCACATACTGTTGTTGTGATTTTGTGTTTTGTACTTCTGTGAGAGAAGCCAAAGACAAATTTCCACAGCAGTGGACAATATAGTATCTATGTATAGTTAATATCATTGGGCTTCCCTCTTTCTCATGTTCTCTACTTAACCACAATGGAAAAAAAGAAAGATATACAGGTACGTATACACATTTTCACTATATCGTAAAGTTCGTCACATTCAAGTTTGAACTTTCGAGTTCAAAGTATAAATTCCAGTACAAATTGTATCAGCAGAATTAAGAATTAAATCTATTTTGCATGGTCCTGTTTTTCCTCAAGAATGTATCATGTTTGGCTACCTTCATCAGTGCTCCTCCAACACGTCTGTGTTCAATGAGATTTTGCCCTGGTAATTGTTTTACTTAAGCTTTTTAGAGTTTGCATACCAATCACTGCAGACCCAGTTTAAGTTTTTAAACTCACTGAAGCCATGATTTGTCCATATCTATAATGATGTGTTTGCAGTAAATGAGGCCAACAATGAAGTTCTGCTCCCAATCTCAATGCACTCTCTCATAACAGCAGCAATCAAAAGTAAAATCCTCCTCACCTTCTACGTTGGTTGTGATAGCATAAAAATCTATCTTATTAAACATTGGGTTTTGCCATTCAGCACTGCCGTCCAATTTCACTATTAATATTTTTTCACATTGTAAGTATATTTAATTTAATGGAATACATTCATATATTTAAATTATTATGATGATGATGAATATGATGATGCTGATGATTTAGCAACCTTTCTGGTTTAGTACAAGCTGGAAGAATGGTGTGACAAAATGCAGTGGGCATTCAAAAACATAGTAAAAGTACAGAACAATATAGACTCCTACGATAAGCTTTGTATTGACTTTTTCTTATTTGTATGTGAAGTACAGTTTAACTCCTGTAAATGCAGGATTCTAATTCTTAAGGTGTTTAGTTTCCTAGAATAATTAAACTACTACACATTCTGCAGCACTGCATGGAAAGCTTCTTAAGAAGTTAATTTACCCCAGGACCAAAAATACTAATGACTCATAAAAACTACAGGAGTATTTCAACAATAACAAAAAATTAAAGACAAATATAAATGACATTTTTTACAATAATAGATTGCTTTTTCAAAGTTTTCAATGTAGCACAAATGCAGACCTCATTCTTCAGGAAGCACTTCACTGAAGACACATACTGTACACACATCCAGGCACACAAACGATCCCAAAGACTACAAATATCATCCAGCTGTTTGTAGACTTTGCACAATAAAATACAATGTAAAAACAGTTACTCCTAGTTAGCTAACTCTCAGGGTCAAAAAAGTACTTTTTCTCAACATATCATATCATGACAATCAAGAAGCAGTTATTTCAAAATCATCACCCCAGGCAACCCCATATTTTAGGGCTGAGTCGAACACCAGCAATCTGATTACAATTCCCAAATTCACTTAGAAAAAGATAAAACTGCGGGAACCAAAGATTGTAACAGTTTGCCATTTAAGCACCAAATTCAAACATATCAGCATGACTAAAACTCTTTACAGAAACAACCAGCAAGATGAATGAGAGTGGCTCTCTCACGACTATCACTGCATAAGATTGAAATCAGCCCTCGGAAAGGCCTGAGATGGGTCAGCTCACAAAAAACATGCCTCCGCAGCCTAAACAATGAACAAAATGACTCCTGCAGGCCTGGAAAGCAGCCCAGACACAGAACATGCCCAGCTCCAGAGGGTTTACAGGCTTGTTCCAGGCATGAGAGGCCCACTACTGACTGTAAATCCTCCCATCCTAGAGCTGTACTGTATTTTATTACTGTTATTTTAGTCTCTGTATACTGCGTGGAGTTTGTGTGTTCTCCATGTGTTCACGTGGGCTTCCTCTGGGTGCTCTTCTTTCCTCCCACAGTCCAAAAACAAACTGGTAGGATAACTGGCTTTTGGGTAAGGTAGGAGTGTGTGTGTGGTTTTGTCTGTGTGAGCCCTGTGATGGGGTCTATCTGTGTCCGTTGGTTGCTGGGAAAGGCTCTACTCCCCCTCGACCCATTCCTGGATAAAGCCGTTGAAAAATGATTGGATTGACAATCTCTATGTACAGTATACAGCATGTATAACAATGACATGATGCATACTTGACAGATTTTTAATTTTCACTTTCACTAGGATGCTTGATTTCATTGGGTTATTGCTTGCTCACACCTGTGACGAGCACAAATCACTTTGCAGTGCAGGCACAGGGCACCGGGATCGAGAAGTAAAGCCCACCTTTTAGATATGATTCACAGAACTGACGTTTATTTGTGCAAGCTGCAGTTTTCAAATTTACCAATGGGTTTTTCCAGATTTTTCCGAGAACGGTCTGTTGACCATTCCCGGGGCCCGTGGGATTGAGAACCAAGACCACAGGTTTCAAAACCAGATTCTCTTTCTGTAATTTTTTAATCAAAGCAGAAAACAAAGAAACTGAACAGCTGTGAGTTCAATGTCACCTCAGACAAAAGCCATTGTAATTAAACTGTGGTTTACAATACAAAGCAAGATATGAGTAAAATGCCTGCATTTTGTCACTTTTATACA